CCACGAAAGCTCATCATCTAATAAACCATCTTGTTAGTCTTTAAAGTGCTACATAGTCCTGTATTTTGCTCCAAGTAAAGATGGCATAACAGGATGCAGAATCTCCCTATTCCATCAGGTTCCACCCCATGGGCTTGTCAGTGACTTGTCACTGGCTCAGTGGGGACCCTACCAAAATACGCTGATTTAACTTTCAATTCTATAACAGTATTAACTTAGGGTATGTCTACACAGTAGTTTTACCTCGAAATAAACTATGCAATAAACTGCCCTGGCCTTGAGAATCCTCTCCTGCACCCTAAATCCCTAACTCCTTCCTAGACCTCACATCTAAACTCTGAGCCCCAGCCTTGATTCCACTTCAGCACCCTAACTCCCATCCAGACTCTTCATCCTATCCCAACTTCCTGTCTTGAGTCTCCTCTTACTCCAGACCCCTTGGCCCCTGCCTGGAGGCCCCTCCTACATCCCAAATGGTCTGCACCCTCTTGCAAATTTACCCTGTCGTCAACCCACAGCCTCTTCTTGTACTCTGAACCCCTCATTTTGGCCCCTCCATGGAGATTAGGGAGCCCCTCAAATCCGATAGCCCCGGGAACCCAGAAAAGTTAATTCAGGCCTTCACATACCATTTAAATGTCTCATCACAGACAAAGGGAGACACTTATTAAGAAACTAAATGCTTCAGCCTTGTTAAAATGTTTCATCACAGACAAGAGGAGACACTTATTAAGAAACTAAATGCTTCAGCCTGAGGTAAGTAGTTGCTTCTCTTAATTATTTTAAAATAATATGAATAAAAATAGAGTATTTCAGCTATGACTCACCAGAACCCCAATTATTATATCTAATAGGATTCAGATAATCACAAATGTGGATAATCCAGAGCGTGGGAAAATGAGGGGCTGCAGCGCCACCTAGTGGCTACAGGAGAAATTGCCTGCTTCTAGACCTGGGTGCGTTGGCTGGTTGTTCATTTAACCTGGAAAGCTCCATAATGCAATATTGGAAAAAATTAGGTTCTACTGCTCTACATCATAATCTGGGGAGCAGCAAAGCAGTCCCCACTGGCACAGGTTCTCCTGTGCCTCTTCCTTTGAAATGTACAAGAGCCACAGGTGGCTCTTATACATTCCAAAGGGAGAGGAGCATCAGTGGGAGCAGCAGGAGCAAAACTGTTTCAATCCCCATTCACGCCATTTCCCCATTACCTCCTGTCTCTCTTACCCCCCATATAGATAGTGCTGGGGAGGGGAACTGGCTGAGAGAGGCAGCAAACGGGGGGAAGTGACTAGTCAATTTCCTACTCCACTATTCCACTAGTAGTTGACTAGTCGACTAGTTGCTTACATCCCCAGATGGAACACACAAAATCTACTAACCTGTGCCCCATTAGGCTCTGGTGTGCAAGGAAAATGTGAGGAGTGTCTTTCTCTTTCTCAGTCGGGGCGCCCGACTGATTTTTCGGTGCGTCAGCAGCTCCTGATCCAAAAAATATTCCCCCCGCCAGTTTACGACATGCACTTATTGCATGAGACTCATTCTATGGTGGAGTTTCAATTAATGTCTTCAATTGAGAAGATATACCTTGGAAAAATTACATTCCTCCATTTCCTTTCCTTTCCTGGATGCATTGATTCTCAAACAAGACAAACAACTTCAGAAAATGGATAAGTAAACTGTGTTGGTATATAAAATGTATAGCAGCTACTGTATCCTCCCATGTCATTCATCCACCAATTGATTACACTGAGAATTGTGTGCATCTGCTCATAATGTTTCAGAAAGTACATCACCCCACTGCTGCCTTAATTAAATTATCTGGCATTTGAGTCTCTAGCTTAACAAAGCTCTTTCAACTGAGGGTGATGTCCTCATTTGGGACAAGTTAAGCACAATCCTGCTTTCCTATATTCCTACAATAATTACAACTGAATTTCACTACCCCTGCATTCAATACTAAAGATTTATAACACAACTCTGCACTCTATCTACTGAATATCCCAGCAGATCAGGAGCAAACTGTATTTACATAAGTACACCTAAAGCCTCAGCAAAATTACCTATAAACCTTTCATGAGAACATCATGGCCCTGGTGCTCCTGGCAAAGTCATTTACATCAGTGTGAAGTGAATACAAAGTAGGAGTACAAAGCTGCCATTTGGTTTTGGTAACATTTTACACCAATTTGACTCTGGTTGAAATGACTGTGCAAGGTATAGAGGTAATGAAGGATCCTATCATGTCTTCTTAAAACAGGGGTGGGGAACCTAAGGCCCGAGGGCTGGATGTGGACCCCAGTTTGCCTGATCCAGCCCCCAAGGCTCAAAGCTCCAGACCCCCCAGCAATGGGAGCCCATGCTGACACTCTAGCCCCTACACTGTCCCCATCCTGGGGCACACAAAATCTACTAGCCTGAGCCCCCAAAGGCTCTAGTGTACCAGGGGAAGGTGGAGAATATCTTTCTTCTCAGTCAGGGACCATGTCAGTGAGGGTTTGTTTTTTCTTTTTTGCTTCTCACTTGTGTGTGGCCCCTGACTGATTTTTCTGTGGATCAGTGGCCCCGACCCAAAAAAGATTTCCCACCCCGTCTTAGAAGTTTGTCAATAAAGACCATAATAACACTGCTGGAAAAAAACAAGCCTCATGTGTTCAGAAAAGGAGGAGAGACCCAGTGATGAAACAGGACACCTGGAATCTACTACTGACTGACACCAACTGATTCTATAACGCTGGACATTTAACCTGTCAAAGAATACCTACAAGGGATGTTAAAAGGCATTTATTTTTGTAAACATGTAACCATTGAAATTTTCAGGGGTTACATGTTTACAAACGGGGAGGGGAAGGCAGGAGCCAGTGCTTGTAGGGATCCAGCTTTTAAGCTGGCTCCCCACACTGACTCCTGTTTCCACTCCCCCACTGCTGCCTCTGTATCAGAAGCAGCAGTGTGGGGGTAGGGAGGAAGGTGTCTCTGTGGGAGCTGGTATGTGTTGGGAGCCAGCTTAAAAGCTGGTTCCCCATGTGCACCAGCTTCCACCCCATCCCTGCACAGCATGGGGGAGAGGAACAGTCTGTCAGTGTCTATACTGGGCCACTTATTCCGGAAAATCAGCCGCTTTTCCGGAATAAGCTGCGAGCTGTCTACACTGGCCCCTTGAATTTCCGGAAAAGCACTGACGATCTACTGAAGAAATCAGCTGCTTTTCCAGAAAAACTATGCTGCTCCCGCTCAGGCAAAAGTCCTTTTTCTGGAAAACTGTTCCGGAAAAGGGCCAGTGTAGACAGCACAGTAGTGTTTTCCGCAAAAAAGCCCCGATCGCGAAAATGACGATTGGGGCTTTTTTGCGGAAAAGCATCCTGCCAATGTAGACGCGCTTTTTCCGGAAATACTTATAACGGAAAACTGTTCCATTTTAAGCATTTTCGGAAATTCATGCCAGTGTAGACGTAGCCCCAGTCTGTAACTGTGAGGGTTAACCAATGAGCTCAGGCTTATCAGTTAACCATGTGCATGAGTACACGTTCACATCCCTAGTGGGAGGGTCATGTGGCTGGTGGCCACCCAGCTCCTCTCTCACCATTCACTTCTGGAGGTGAAAGAGTGGTAGGAGAAAATCCAAATGGGGGCAGAGGTTAAATGGGAGAATGTGCAGGAGCAACTGTTTTTTTCCTGGAGCCCCGTAAATCTTGGCCCTTGTCAACAAAGAAGTCAGGAGTGAAGATACTGTGCAATCATCATTATATAAACTGATGGTGTGCCCTCCCCTGGAAAGTCATCCTATTGGTCCAGTCATCCTCTTGCAAAATGGACATAACAGGAATGGAAGCAGTGCAGCAATGTTTGTGGAAAATGACTAAAGGCCTGGACGGGCTTCCAGATTAAAGGAGAAACTGAAAAGGTTGGGCACTGTTATAGAGGACGCAAATGATAGGAACGCAATGAATAGAATTATACTAAATAGTGAGTGTTATAGAGAAAATAAATACTAAAGAGTTCCTGTTGGCATTTCACACAATGCATAACACACTACAAGAATAATGGGACAACCAATGAAACTGTCAGGCAACAAATTTGGAAAGAAAATGCCTTTTTGCAAAAATGGGGTGAGGAAAGAGAGTCATTGCTAATCATGATAATTAGAGGATCATGTAACTTGGCTGCACCAGGAAAATGACCTATAGCCAAAAATGTCATCTATAGTCATGAGTCATGACTGCTATACCTAAAATCACCTATAACCTAAAGATGTATAGCTAGTAGCAACACATGGGGTGTTTGGATAATTTTCCTAGTGCAGATCTGGTCCCTTATTCTGTTGGGATTGTCATGTTGAAGCAGCTCAGAGCAAACACAGCATCTCTTTAAAATATATTTCATCCAAAGAAGCAAAAGTAGAAAGGGAAAGTAACAGAAGATTAAAAAGTACAATAAGCCCTTCTGTTTTTCAATGGAAGCATCCCACGTTGGCATTATGACCAGTTTTTTAATTCTTATTTAACATTCAAAAAGTGTTTGGGTAACTTTGGGCACAAAATATTGTGCTTATAATTAAATATCTGCGTAGGTGTGATTTGGTATCATCAATTCAATGGCTCTGGGCAAAGAGCACCAACAGGCCAAAATAATACCCTATGGTATGGAGCCAACTTAGCGAGGGTAGCAATATAATGGTCCAAGGCGGCTGGAGAAGGGGTGGGATGGGAACAAAAGGCTCAGAGAAAGAGTAAAAGTGAGCAGCCCGCTTATAATTAAATATCTGCGTAGGTGTGATTTGGTATCATCAATTCAATGGCTCTGGGCAAAGAGCACCAACAGGCCAAAATAATACCCTATGGTATGGAGCCAACTTAGCGAGGGTAGCAATATAATGGTCCAAGGCGGCTGGAGAAGGGGTGGGATGGGAACAAAAGGCTCAGAGAAAGAGTAAAAGTGAGCAGCCCAAAGGATTCCGCAAAAGGGGCGGACGCCGCGCATCGATTCCTCGGCGCTCTGCTGCGCCCACTGGCGCCTCTTCCCTTCCGGGTGCGGGCGGGCGGGCGCTGCAGGGCACGTGCAGGGCTCGCGACCTGGTCACCTTGCCGCGCGGCGGCCCCCTCCCCCTTCCCAGGGCGATGGCCGGGCTGGTCAACCTGGAGGATGAGGAGGAGGTGAAGGGCTACCTGGAGAACCTGGGCATCGAGTACAGCTACCAGTGCCACAAGGAGCTCGAGCCGGACGGTGCGCGGACAAGCCGGCCGGAGCTGCGGGTACCTGGGG